AGATCTAAGCTTTGAGACTTTGAGGATTTGCTCATCCAGATCCGGTGCTCGGCGATCGTCAACGCCAAATAAGGCAAGAGTTCGAGAGGACCGGATCTCAGATCTACACAGGCGTACTCCGGATCAAAGCTTGGTCTTTGATCCTGAGATTTGGGCGATTGTTTCCTTGGTGAACCAATCCCCCCGGCTATTATTTCCTTTGTGAAATAATACCCGTCGTACTACGTAGATCCGACTGGATCTAGATCGCACGGTGGTCCACGGATAAACCCCGGCGCAGGCAAACAACCCACGCAAGCGAGCGACCGTAAAACAGGAGCTCGCGATTTGTTCGATAAAAGAGAAAAGTTGTAATTTTTTATTTCCTTTTTTGATCTCGTTGTAACCGGATCTTATAAAAAGACCGGATCTTTGTAATCGATAAACTTTTACAAGAGTGTGCAATGGAATCAATGAAGAAAGATACGATTTTTCCCGCGAACACCTGTGTCATCGTCGTGCTCGCCTGGCATCACCTCAGTCGGCACTATAATGGATACTGTACTATCTGGACAATGTGGAGCTGCATCAATCTCCACCACCTGCGATATCTCCTTCGTCGGGTCGCTCTCCACCTGATGAGAGCTGGGAAGCTTCAAGATAGAAGCCTCATCAAACGTGACGTCCCTACTCAGCACAATCTTCTTATCAACTGGATCCTAAAGCTTGTATCCCTTGACACCACGCTTGAATCCTACAAATATGGCCTTCTTAGCTCGAGGTTCCAACTTACCAGTTATTACATGATAAAATACAGGGCATCCGAATACCTTGAGCTGGTCATAATCTCGTGCTGACTCTCCCGACCACATCTCCATAGGGGTCTACCCCTTAATCGCAGATAAAGGCAGCCTATTAATGAGGTGGCTCGCATTTGTAAGTGCCTCAGCCCAAAAGAGCTTCTCCAAACCACTCTGCGACAATAAGCATCAGATCTTCTCCAGTAAAGACCGATTCAACCTCTCTGCCACCCTATTTTGCTGTAGTGTATGACTAACCGTGAAGTGCCTCTCTATGCCGTCGTCTCGACATAGTTGCAAAAAGGAGTCTGAAGTATATTCACCACCGTTATCGGATTGTAACGTCTTGATCTTTCTCCCAGTCTGCAGTTCCAATCTCTTCTTCCACTCCACGAATATATCTAGGACTTCACTCTTCTTTGTCAAGGCGTACACCTAACATTGCCTAGAATAGTCATCAACGAACGTGACGAACCAATGTCGACCACCAAGTGATGCAGTCTTAGTGGGACCCCAAACGTCTGTGTACACGTAGTCCAGGATGCCCCTCGTCTGATGAATAGCAGTCCCGAACTTCACCTTCTTCTTCTTGCCAAGAACACAGTGCTCACAGAACTCAATCTTCCCACTCTTGGCTCCCTTCAATAGCCCCTGCTTGCACAATGCCTGCAGTGACTTTTTACCTATGTGCCCCAACCTATAGTACCAAAGTCTGCTCATGTCCGCTTCTGAAATAGCCGAAGCAACCTGGCCAATCTCGGTGCTTCCCTTCAGATAATACAAATTCCAATTGCGAACTTCCTTTATCACCACCAATAATCCCTTAGTAACCTTCGCTACAGTGTTTTTAAAAGTCACCGTGAATCCCTTCGCCTCCAAAGCTCCAACTGAGATAAGATTTTTTTTAGTTAAGGAATAAATCTCACCTCCTTCAACTTACGGACTACTCCATCGTGCATCCTAATACGCACGGTACCTATCCCACAAACGCTACAGATTGATCATTTCCTATGATAACAATACCACCATCGACTTTCTCAAAAGATACAAACCAGTCTCGCCTAAGGGTCACATGATAAGTAGCACCGGAATCAAACATCCAATCTGATGCATCCACATGGTTCACCTCCGGAGTAATCAGTAGAGAAAAACACGAATCATCGGGATCATCGCCTTTCGCAATATTCACCTCATTGGTCTTTGGGCCCTTTTTCTTGCCATTCTCTTTCTCCTTGAGTTTCGGGCAGTCTCTCTTCCAATATCCCTGCTCCTTATAGAATGCACATTGGTTCTTTGCTAATTGGTAGCTGTTTCTTAACTTTGACCTCCCTCTATTATCACCTTTCGGATATGTACTTCTACCTCTCATCGACAAGGCCTCTCCTGAAATACTAGCGCGGGAAGTCTCCTTGTCCTTCCTCCTCAAGTCATAGTTATTCAAAGCGTTAGTCACTTTACTATAGCTGATAGAAGATCTCCCATTCAACAAAGTGAGCACGAAGGTATCATACTCCTCATCCGGTAAGGAGTCCAACAAAATAACCGCCTTGTACTCATCCGATATCTTCTCATCAACATTCGCCAAGTCCGACAATAACTTAGTGTAGTTGTTCACATGAGCCGCTAGCGAGGTGCCTCTAGATATCTAAAATTTGAAGAGTCTTCGCAGTAAGTGCAACGTGTTCTCAACACTCTTTATGAGATACTTGTTGTTGAAAATTTCTCACATCTTCATTACAGACGTCACCCCAATCACATCATATTTCAGTTCCTGTTCCAAACAGGACCTGATCACCCCCACACGTGTTCCTATTCATCTTCTCTCATATCGCCTCATCATATTTAGGTGGTCTCTCGTGGACCATGATGGTCTCTTCCAAATTCTAAGTATTGAGCGCATCTTGTACGTCGCTCATCCACAAACTAAAGTTAATTTTGCCGTCATACTTCACCACACTAATCTTAGTGTTCTGAAAACCAACTTGTATTGTACTCGCCGTCAACTTGCTTCTTTCACCTCCTTCTTCTATTACAAACTAACTCCAAATTGTAGAGAAAGAACAAATTTGATAGAAATTAGGAACCACCCAACTGAACCTTAGATCAGAATCCAAATAGATCTCCTATCCACACGAGAAAAGCGAAATATCTAAAGGCAACTCCTAATGTTATCTCTACCGAAGCCTAAAACTCCAAGAACCAAGCTTCACACAAAAATCTTCCTCCACCAAACTCCAAAACCCTAGATCTGAAATCTGGGCTCTGATACCACTTGTTGCGCGCAGCGAAAATTTCGACAGCACTTCGTCAACACAACAAGAAAGTCAGGTCACAATAGGAATTCCTGTTTCACAAAGGAAATAAGAACCTTAAGCAAAATATCTTAACCAAGTAAGATATCAACTCTTCCTCTCATCAGTTCTAGGACTGACCTGTTGAGGGAACCTAAATGCTATTAAAAATCACACAAATAATGGTACAACCAATTTTTACGTGGTTCGGCAAATTACCTACGTCCACGGGGCAAGGAGGGGGGAGATATACTATTAGAGGGAGATTACAACTAGGCTTTACAATCACTCACAACCTAAACCCTCAAACAAACTCTCAAATCCCTCACACAATTATCTCTCTCAAAGAGCACAAAAGCCTGCACACAAAATCTCTTGAAATTCTGCGTTTTTCTTCTTTTGCTACAGCAGAAACCCTCAGCCGATGCTCTTCTCCTGCAGCCACAATTTTTCGCAGCCAAAACCTTCTTGCTTGCACAAAACCCTAGGCAGTTTTTCCGTGTGCATTTATAAGCACAAGTTGTGATTATGATTCTCCGGTGGGCCTTCATGGGGCTTCATTCACGCGGCTTCTTTTCATCACATGGGTGCTGCTCCAGCTCGTGGTCCCCACCTGCACAAACCCCAAATCCTTCTTCTGGGGTGGCTATTGGGTCATATTTAGCCAAGTTTGCTTTCAGGCTCATCGTCGGCCGAAGTCATGTAATCACTTACGTTTAGGCTTGTTTTCGGGCTTATCGTTGGCCCAGCCCATTTCATTACTTACTTTTGGACGTCCAAGGATTTTTGGATAATTAGGCATTTGATTTTGTAGCCACCGCATAGTATTCCATTTTCTGATTTTGAGCTTTGAAGGCTACTGCCGATCAAACGCTTTTGCATTATTAAGATTCAGTGACATTTCACTTGATCGGTGGGGACCAGAAAAATATCAATAAATTGATTGCCACTCTTACATCATAACCCACCCTCTCAATAAACTTATCTCCTAATTTCTTCCTTTAACTAAAACAACTTAAACTAATCACTACCAACTGAACCACCAACATGTGTCTCCTACCCAAATCACGCACCGACTCCTGACAATATTTAATCACATTTCAATCTCAATCAAGTCTCTTTCTTTAGCCAAATTTCTCGGATCCCTTTATTTCGGGCTAAATTTCAGCAAAAAAACCCCTTGACTTTGGATGATTATCAAATAACACCCACGTAACTTTCAAAACATATCATAAAAACCTCCCTTAACTTTGATGATAATTAAAAAAAGAGTGCTGCTACGGGGACCCAAAATATGGGACCAAGGGAGAGGACAGGTAAGGTGTCTCCTCCCTATTGTATAATGAGTTGGCATGAGTTGACATGACCAACTCATTATGCAATAGGGAGGGGACACATCACCTGTCCCCTCCTTTGCTCCCATATTTTAGGTCCTTAAACCATTTTCCTTAAAAAAATTCTCTTTTAACTTTAAGATTTTTTAGAAAACCCCTTTTAAAAATGTTAACCATAATTGAACATGAGTAGGTGAAACTATGTAGACGACTTTTTTTTAATGTTTTTTTGCTAGTGAAATTTTATTCTTACTTTTTTAAGAATGTTTTCTGAGAAAGTCTCAATGTTGAATGGGTTTCTGGTAACCTCTTAACCTAAGGGGAATTTTATAATATTTTGAAAGTTATTGAGGGTTTATCTGATATTCTCATCCAAAGTCGAGGTTTTTTTGCTGAAGTGTGGCCCCATTTTTTTTTGACACCGTTTGCCTACTCTCTCATTTTTGACGCGAAGAAACCTGTGCCGATTCAATCGCACCGCCGGATCCGGTCGGTTCAAACCCGAGCCTACACGTGCATAGCCTTCATCACCTTCTCTTAACTCTGCCACGTGTCCTCTCTCCCCTCTCTTATATTATATACACGCCCCTCAATTCTTCTTCCTCCCTATTTCAACGCTTGTCGCCCTCTTTCCTTTCGATTTTCGGCCTGATTTCAAGCTTCTTGAACTCAAAACTAAAGAAACCATCATGGACCGCTTTTGGACATTTCTCACTTATATCCATTCTTTCTCCGGGTAAATACATATTTTTGTTTCATTAGTTTCTACTTAAGTTTGTTAATTATTTATTGTTGCTATTGTAGCACTAATATCAATTATGCAATATTTGACTATAGGCCTGCAATCATGTTGCTCTATCCCTTGTAAGTATATATTGTTCACTGTTTTTTTTTTTTGGTTGAGGTGTGTGTTCTGGCTTTGAATTTGGTTGAGGGGTTTGAATTATTATGTAGGTATGCATCAGTTCAAGCGATTGAGACTGAAGACAAGCTTGATGATGAACAGTGGTTAGCATATTGGATTTTGTACTCTTTCCTGACACTCATGGATATGGTTTTGGAGCCAATCTTGAGATGGTAATTAAACTCTTGGTTAATTGATAAACTCTATAAATTATTTAGACAATTAATTTGGATTGGTTTTTTTTTTGGAGGGTACCAATTTGGTATGAGATGAAGGTATTGTTAGTGGCTTGGTTGGTATTACCACAATTTAGGGGAGCAGCTTTCATTTATGACAAGTTTGTGAGGAAACAATTAAGAAAATATGGGGTTTTAAGCGAATCTTCTTCTAGTTCTTCATCATCATCACCACTATCCAAGAGCAAGAGCAAGAGCAAGAACAAATATTTAGGCCTTGTTACTTCAAAAAAGGTGAGCTCCGCTGACTATTTCTTTCAAGTAAACAAGTGGAAATAAATATAACTTCATGTTATTTGTTATGAACGAAGAAAGCAACCATTTCATTGTTGAAGTTAAGAGTAGATCTACTCTATTTTAAGGGTTTCCATGCTTTAGTCCCTTAAATCTTTCGTGCTTTGAAATTAGTCCCTCGACTAATAAAAATTGCTATCAGATTTCGCGATTCTTTAAGTTAATTTTAGAATTAGTCCCTCAAATCATTGGAATTGCTATTAGGCTTCTTGTTCTTAATTTATTCTGAAATCAGTATCTCAATTTATTGAAAGTACTATAAGTCCCTCAATTCTTTAGTTAGTTTGAGATTTGTCCCTCCAACGAGAGTAGGACTTAGCACTTAGAGGGATTAATAAAAAACAACTTATGAGATTTTGGGTACCCGATATAAACAATCAAGAGTGGAAGTGTAATTAATTAATGAAAGGGATGAATTTGAAACAAATCTGAGAATCGGGGACTCTAGTAGCATTTTAATGATTTGAGGGATTAATTTCATTATAATTTAAGAATTGGGACCTAATAAAAAGTTTAGTAATTTCAGGTTGTCCTTTCAAAGTATAAAAAATTAGGAACTAATATGGAAAAAACGCGCTTAAAAAAGAAGAAACTAGCTCTTTTTCATTAAAAAATCAGTAACAGTCCCAAGTTTATCGTACCACATCATTATCACATCAACAAAAAATTAGTGAAATTAAAGTTTGTATTGAACTTGAAACTTACACTGGTTTACACTGCAGTGATATGGCATGGCAGCGTTATTGTGAACGGAATTATGTAAAAATGATCTAGGATGATGACCGAGGCAACATAGGGGATCCTAGTAAATTTTCAAATATTAAGGGCCCAAGTGATATTTAGTCCACATATTAGTAACCTCGATGAAGTTTTGCCTTTAAAATAAAATTCGCTTATTGTAATTTAAAGTCATAATTCCAGATAACAACCTCTGTTGAACAGATTGAAGATTTAGGAGTGAGTTATAAGTATAAAGCCTTAAACGTCTAATATAAAAAGAACTAGAATTTAGGGGCATAAGATAAGATGAGAAAAATCTTTAATTTTTTTTTTTTGCTTGTTCTTTTTATTTTTAGTTTGGGAGTAGTGATTAACTTGTTTGACATTCGGCAGGGGGAGCAGGAGGAGTAATGAGAGCTTGGAGATCAGGTTTGCCTCTCGTTTTAACTTTTAAGATATGGATTACTTTTAAGACATGGATAGATTTCCTTTTTTTTTTTTTTTTTTTTTTTTTCAACTTTTAAGATATGGATTACTTTTAAGACATGGATAGATTTCCTTTTTTTTTTTTTTTTTTACTTTTACTAGGATTTGGATGTATAGTTTTGATATCGGGTCCTTTTTATTGTAAAAATTTGATGTTTTAGTTAGTTTCGAATGTGGAAGGGAATGGTAAACTTGCACTTTGGGTAGCTCAATTTGTGGATAGGCTGTGGTTAATGATTTGGCAGCATGGGAGAGGTCCAGGAACGGCGAGTTTGCCAAAGCAAAATGGTTTGCTAAAGTGCGGACAGGTCAATTTTGTGAGACGTGGGAAGTTTCTTGGATGGTGCGGCTCAAAACAATATTGGGTGGCAATATAATAGTATAATACTGAGGCTAATTAGCTCCTACATCCCTAGGTTGCCCTACTTCGCAAGTTATAAATTGCCACTTGTCGTTAGTGCTTAACGTTTGTTTCGTTCGCCATAAAATCTACATAATAATTTATAGAGTGTTGCTACAAGCACCCAAAATATGGGACTAATGGAGGGGACAGGTGAGGTGTCCCCTCCCTATTGCATAATGAGTTGGCACAGCCAACTCATTATGCAATAGGGAGGGGACACCTCACCTGTCCCCTCCATTGGTCCCATATTTTGGGTCCTTAAATGATAGAGAGAAGTAAATTGCCTATGTGTCTTCCTGATTTGCACTAAATTTTATGAGTAATTCACATTTCTTTATCTATCTCCTCTCTTATAGAGTGCCCATGGGCACTCTATAGAAAAACCCAATTTATATTTATACTACGTGTAAAAAAGAATTTGGGTGCTAAAACTTTTAATTGGCTTTTTTACCCCTCTCAGATTTGATAATTATAACTTTACTTTAATTATTTGATTTATATCAAAACCTCATTCAATGAGTCTTAAATTACATTAAGTTAAATTAATTATAACTCATAATAATAATAATATTTTGTTAGCTTCTTAGCTCTTACAGAACCCATAACTAATTTAATTAAATGCATATATTATGGTTCCGAAAAATTCTCCAAGGACCCAAAATATGGGACCAATAGAGGGAACAAGTGAGGTGTCCCCCTCCTATTGGATAATGAGTTGGTCATCATTAATGATGTGCAACTCATTATCCAATAGGAGGGGGACACCTCACTTCTCCCCTCTATTGGTTCCATATTTTAAGTCACTGTAGCAAAGCTCTATGGTTCCAATTGACTAACCATTCTTTCATTTTTCCTTGCATAACCTTTTTTTTTATCTCTACACTATAAACTACGCTTATCCATTCTCTTCAGTCCACCACATCACCTAATAAGCTAAATTCCTACACCAACACAATGGTTTATGAAATATGTTATGTGAAAAGTTTGTCAAATGGTCTACAGTATACATGGCTTGTATGTGTATGTGCACATGCATACATTAGATAATATTTATCAAATACTTTTCAGACTTAAAGATTTATTTTTTTTTATGGAGTTGAACACTGTATCTTGTGTTCAATTTGTAGCTCTTGATTTATATGTTATCACTTGAATCCTTGAAAAAGAGAAGGATGATTGATTATAGGAAGATTATTATTCGAAGGTCTTGTCGTCTTGATATTTAACAGTATGTAATACATTTGATTTGGGAACCAAATATTATTCTTAGTGTGCACATTTTTTTACTATGGATTAATAAGATTTTATTGATCTTTTAATACTTAGAAAGAATGAACGATCTTATTTTTCAAGTTTATAAAAAGCTATTTAAAGATTTTTCCTCCTTGCACAATATTGTAAAGAGATTTTTGTGATATTTATCATAAATCTTTCTTTTCTGTTGAATATAGGTCGTAAGTTGTGCTTTCTTATTTATTAGATGTATTCATGGTTTAATTCTTAACTAATTACTTAGCTCATATGCACTTTAAGTTGAGAGATGCTATCAACTTACCCAACACTGTCAATATTTCTTGTCATTTTAATTTTTTGCCTATATTAAGCATCTTTTACGTTCTTTCATTAATAATTATGTTGACTCATAAAACTTTATTTGTCTTCTTTTTGATTAAACAATAATAAGTTCTTTGTTCCCATTAACTTTAGGCTACAAAAATAAACTAATAAAACATATTAGATATCTATCTTTTACGCATTGAGTAAATCAAAATACACAAATCTATATATAATATATTTGATTAAATTACATAAAACTTTTGAGTTCTTATATGAGATTTAGATTAACTTGTCTCTTGATTTAGATTCTTTAATTTGGATTAAAATTTTGATCTAGATAATTCCCATGAACGGAGCTATTTGAACAATGTTTTATATCAGTTGTGATTCCATCTTGCTAGTCTTTTGTAATTTTATATTAATAACAATTTTTGCTATTGCAACGGGTTACTAGACATATAATATTAAGTTTTTATTTAGTGGCCTTTGTAACTTTCTTGCCTGATATAGTTAGAATCAATATACCATAAGTAAATATTATATTGTAAGTACATATTAAAGAATCAATATTGTATATATTATTTACTATTAACTTCTTAAATCAATTTCTCGTAAGTACATATTTAAGAATCAATAGTGTATATATTATTTACTATTAACTTCTTTAATCAAGCACGCCACGTGCAACACACGTGTGGCATACTAGTTTATTAAAAATAGGGTTAATTATGAATTAGGGCCCTATAGCATCATCCTTGGTGAACTTTTCGGTTTCCTTTAAAATTCAAAAAAAGAAGGAAAATTGATACTCACTCCTTGGTGAACTTTTCAGACTCATTTAAAATTCAAAAAAAAAAAGAAAGAAAAAAGATAATTGATGGTCTATTCTCACTGATATTAAAATAGGGGGTCTACCTCTTCTTCAAACATGTTTAACAATTTTAAGACCAGAAAAAAAAGTTCTATTTGCAAAAATAGAGGTATGGTGGGTCTATCTATAACTGAGTAATACTACAAGAGTCTGTTGGCAATTAACCTAAGAGAATATAATTGAAGTAGATTTAAATTATAATTATGACATGTTTTACCTAAATCTAACAAATGTTAGAAGTTAAAACTTCTAAAATTAGCTAGTGAGTCTCACGTGGAAAAATTTTCCCGGAGAATTTTTGCATTTGCATAACAAAATGTGTTAAAGTGTAAATTTTTTAAAAATTTTATGTGTGTAATAATGTCGTCAAAAAAATGTGAAGGTATATAAATACAAAATAAGGAACACTATGAGGTATTTAAGTGCTAATTAATGATTTCACAGTTCAAAGACGTAACAAAGTGGTGGAATAGATGGCCTATGCTCTCGGCTCTTGCACACAAATGAGTGAAAAGAATATTCCCATCTCATATCAATTCATAGAGCGGTCATAGCTAAACTATTCTCCTTGAACTACATTGAGAAAATCGTGGGGTCTAAGAGCATCTCTAAGGGGTCGGAAAAATCCGATCCCTTAGCTAAATTTAGGGAGTTTTAAAGGGTTTGTGTTCCAAGGGACCGAAAAAAGGTCCCCTTCACCCAAAGTCCCATAATCCCTAAATTAAGGGGAAGGTTAAAGTCCTTTAACCTTTCCCTTATAATTTTATATTAATATATTTTATTTTGAAGTTAATTATAGTTAATTAAATTTAGTTAATGTATAGTTAATTTAAAATAATATAATTAGGTTATTAATATTATTTATATAAATTTAACATGATTTATATAAATTAATTATTATAAATTAATAATGATTTATATATAAATTAATTATATTAATGATTTATTATATTAAATATTATATAAATTAATTAATTATTATCCAAGGGAGACACTGTTTCACTTTTTAACATGATTTATATAAATTAATTATTTGCTAAATTTTAATATATTAATTAATTTAATGAGTATATAAGGTAATTTCTTAATTTAAATTAATTAATTATTTATTTTTAGTTATTAATATTTAATTATTTATTTATTTATAAATAAATCACATATTTAATTAAATCCTAATCTATAAAATTAAAACACTAAATATGAATAATTAAGGGGTAAGAGGACTTTTAAGGGGGAACCATTGGAGGAGAACTTCCCCCTCCCTTAAAACTCCCCCTAGATTAAGGGACATTGTAGGGAACCCTTGGAGATGCTCTAATATCTTTTAACTTGTTTTATAAGTAGATAATTTTTATGTCCACACTTCTCTTTCTTGTATTATAGTAATAGTATAGAGAAGTATAATGTAGGGTGCGTTTGGTGACAGGTGTGATTAGGCCGTTTCCAATTATATTTAGGCTAAAAACGAAATAGTTTTGTTTGGGTACCAATGCGTTTTTTTAGAGCCAAAGCATGATCGAACCCAAACAAAACAATTTTGCCAAAACACTAAAGAGGTGTTTTGCGTCTTTCGTTTATGAAATAAGAGCCCACGCGTCTTCTCCCAAGAGGAAAAAACCTCTTCTATCACAATTCTTCGCTTTGTGCCCCCATTTCCATGGCATCGAAAGTCACTACCATCATCGGAAGTCGTCGCCACTGTCGGAAGTCGTCGAGGACTGCTATTATCTTCAGATCTCTGATGCGGCATAATTATGTATCAAAATTACAAATGCATAATTCATCAAGTTATAATACAAAAGTTATCGATCCCACGAGGAAGGTGATTTTAAGAGATTATTAGAATTGGTTCTTATGTTTTGTGCGTGACAAAAATAGGATTAAATAATAAGTGTGATTATGGAGATAGATATGATGAGTGATTGTTTTGAATATATGCAAGTAACAATAAATTGAATTTGAGCGAAGAGAAGTAAGAATCAAAGAATAGAATAAAAAGCAAGAATAACAAGAGAAAAAATCAAGAAAACAAACGATGGAGAATTCAATTAAAGATATGAGAGATCGAGAATTGAATCTACTAGCTAATCTTAATTATAAAATACAAACTATTCTTTTTTTATCATATTTCAACTTAGATTTATTAAGCATAGACTATCAAACCATTTAAGAAAAGTATAACCTATCAAGTTATCATCTAAACAAAATTAATATTCATGACAAGAACAACAACTAGATAATAATTCTAGAATTCATAAGCATAACCTATCAAACCACTCAAGATAAGCATAGATTATCAAATTCTTCTTCTATCAATTAGTTCTCTAGTTAATTATCCTAAACATGAATATTTAAGTGCAAAAGAATAATTCATACAATATAAAAGAACTTAGACTAGTTTCATACAATTCTAAGATTCCTACAAGAATTAAATTCACATCTTAAGAAATAAAAACAAGAAAAAGAACTAATTACAAAAATAAAAAGAAAAAAAATCTAAACTATATTAAATGCAAGAAATTAAATCTACTCTACAAATTAAAGTGCAAAAAGAAATAAAAAGATAAGAAAATAAATCTACACTACAAGCATAAATGTAAATCTAACTAATAAGGAATAATAAAAAAATTACTAAAAAGAAATAAAAGAGAAAAATAAAAGAAAAGCAAACCTTCAAACTTTTCTTCA